TTTCTTTGTACTTTGGCTCCATAAGTATTAGAATTTACTATAAGTTTAGTGTGTTGGGCATTGAAGTCTATAAAAACTATTCAAATAATGTCACATCCCTATTTTTAAAATGTTCACCGCATTTTACATAGTTTATGAGAGAAATCAAATATCTATCTATCTATATATTATATATATATATATATAAAGCTTAGAACTACTTTTAGATTGTTCTGTACGTTATCTAATGTTTCTGACAGCTTTGATTTTTGTTTGTTTGTTTATTTATACTAGAAGTTACTTGGGAAGACCAGCAGAAAAAAGTGAATGGTACAATAAGTGATGAAAAAATATTGCCGAAAAAGAAACACCAATCTGAGCCAGGTTTGTCAGGATTGGGAAACCACACAAAAGCATGAGAGTATAAGCATTGCATTTCATGCTTTTTAAATGCGTGTGTCCTTGTAATATCTCATTTTTCGTATTTTAGTGTGAACATTATAGTGTGTAGTTCCCATTTAGAGTGGAGTGGTGAATACTTTATTTCAATATTTGCTTAGAAAACTAATCACATATATCATGGGGAAAGAGAACATGATTATGTCATGATTAGGATTATTTTTCGTGAACAAAATGACCAATGAAAACACAAATGAATATCTGTTGTATATGTTTGTTTGTTTTGACTCAAAATACCTTCATGGAGTTGTGCTTGCTTCCTTCAAATATAATATAAAGGCTGCTTGGTAGGCCAATCTTATCCTTCCTGCCGTATTTATACCATATATCGGTAATGATTTGCTTATAACTTCTAGAGCCACAAGCATTGTCAAAGACAATGACAAAGGACTGAGTTTATTAATTCTATAAATAGTTCTTTCAAACCATTAATTACAGCAGTGAATTGAAATGAAGTATTTTGCTTGATTCTTTTTTTTTTTTTTGAGAGATGTAGTTAATACAACAGAAGACAAAAACTTGTGCTAGACTTTGGAAGAAGCAGGAGGATTAAATGCAAAGTGCAGACAAGATTGATAAACCCAATCATCAGATCTATATTTAATAACTGTATGATAGTACATTGAAATTTTTATTGACAAGTTAAATTTTACACACAGTAGCTATTAAAAATGTCTGTAGTAACAGGATTCATGTATCATCTGTGGTGCATTTTATGTTAGAACTCCTACCCTATGTTTTAAAACATATCAGTATTTAAGTTAAACTAATATTTTAGCAAATATTCATTATCATCGAGTTATACACCAGGTATTAAGGCTAGCAATAAAGTTATTGGGGCAGACAAGATAAACATAACAATTTTCTTCACAGGAGTTTACATCTGACAAAAACATACATGGAAAAAACAGTAATACTAATGATTAAGGTGTTGCAATGATGTTAAGCATGATTAAGGAAAATAGGATGCCGTGAGATAACCTGCCATGTTAGAACTTAAGCCAACAGAGAAAAGAAAGACCTCAGAGCACCCCGGACAGTCTGGTCACTTATCCTTTAATGAGACAGTACAAATACAGTAATACAGGAAACTGGTATCCACACAGGCATTTTAAGTTTATTTACCAAATTGCAAGAAAAATTATGATTTTTCAAAAATTCTACTTAAGAAACAATTTATTTGAAAAAAAGTGAATAATTTTAATGAGTTTTTAAAAATAACTAAGGTAAAATTAATCTTGGAGTTATGATGTATATAAAGATAATACCAAAAGATTTATCCTCATTATTTTGTATGGTAGCTATTATTCTTGTTCATACATTCTTAATTATTTTTGGGGCTTATTTGCTATCATTCTGACAAATGAATGTTTATGTGACCTAATGTAAATTATATACTGTGTATTGAAATCATGAATGCATTTCTCACCAACATGTTTTAAAGAACTGCTTTAAATATTTTAGGCTAATTTCTTTAAAAACCTACATTTATTTTTTAATCCCTCGCAGCTCTCCAATTGAGTATAATCTGTGTGTGCAATAGAGGAAAGATATTGAGTGCCATAATGTTATAATTTTAAATATTGCTATGTTTTTGTACTTTTGGAGTTGTGTGTTTTCCTATATACTAAGAAAATTGATAATGGAAATTCAAACCTTAAAGTGTTATGAGTAAATATGCATTATGATATGGTAATAAGGAAGAATATTAAAGTTTAGTTCATAATGCTGTTTAGTTGTTTCTAAAAGAAAGGATATATTGAAGATACTTTAAATCATTAAAACTTGAAAATGAAAAAATGGGAGGAAAGCAGTGTGGCATATCAGATGAGGCTGATTAAATTTCAACATGTTTATAAATCTGAGTTTTCCAGAAGATATGAAGGTACCTCAAGATTTAGAAGTATATGCATAGGCAAGGACTTTAAAAAGTTTTTGGCAAATGTGTACTGAAAATTCTGTGCAGATTTCAAAAGTACTTTGTTCCAAATCAAAGTTTTTTAATTTTGTTTTTACAAAAGGTATTGAAGTACCCTGATACCTTTGGAGTGATTTATTCATATTTAAATGCATCTGTAATATTACTAATCTAGCACTAATAACCCATGCTTAATTCATGATAATGATGCACTAGAGGCTGGTAATCGGCTTGCCTGAATATCTGGGGATTCATTATTATGTGATTATTTGAATGACCTTCTGGTGTTAGAAAAAGTTTGTGAGAACCTAAACATGAGGTGGGAAATGGACTGTGTTCAGTAGCTGCATATTGGTTTCCTTTTTCAGTTGCTGTTGGTAAAAAAAAAAAAAAAAAAAGTGTAAAAAGAACAATTTCTAGACAGTGGAGATTTTGCCACTTTAGGTATGTATACTAACCATAAAAACTTAAAAATTTTATTTCAGACATAAAATTTTAGGGTGATAAGTCTAAAGCATGTCATACACTCAAAATGAATTAAGTATTTGGATGATGTTTAGACATTATGAACTAGGATCTACTTTTCTTAAAGGATTATCTAAACTAGGATGTCTTGAGAGGCGTATCAGAAACAGAGTGATTTGCTTTCTCTATCTCTAATGACATCAGAAGAAGAACTTGACTTGGGAATGTAATTATATTTATCATGTCATTGTCGTTGATGTGAGCATAAAACATAATTATCCTACCTATCATTTTAGACTCCAAGTATCATGAGTAATTTTTAGAGAGGAACTTAATGTCTTTCTCATGTAGATTGTTATTTATTTTGTTTAGATCTTAAAATAATGAGACATTTTAAGTGTGGGTCAAGGGTATATGTGCCTGGTTAAACTGTCGTTTATTTTTCAATGAGCACTCTGATTCCAGAGAAGAATATATTCCCATTACCAGAAGAAACCTTTAAGTCATTGGATTTCTAAATTTTGCTTGGTGAGCTTATCTATTCTTACAATCATTAGAAATATATAGAAGAGAACATATTTCTACATACAATTTCTGTATAAAATATTTCTGCATAAAATATACTCATTTACCTTATGAAAATGTACAGCTAAAAAGATCAAGTGTAGGTTCGTCAGGTTTTAAGAATATTCTTGAGCTTAAAAGTTTCGCAGATTCAGCGACATAAGAATTGTTGACATTAATCCTAAATTTAAATAGTTCAAATGTACTTGGAAATACAGTTGCCAATGATATTTGATACTGTTCATGTAAATATTATGAGTCAAACTTATTTTCTAAGTGCAAGGTATATAGTATATAGGAAAATCGTGAATTGACATGCCTGAAACTATTTGGAAACCATTACAATGCTCTTAGCTTTCTAAATCTTACCTAGAAAGTATGTGTGTATTTTTTGCTTTTGTTTTTTGTAAAAGTGAGAGCAAAGGAGCACTTTTGTGTAGAACCATATGATTACACATAATATTTTGGAAGCTTGAAAGATGTGAAATAATTTATGCTTTACTACTTACTAGAACATCTTCACTTACTCATTAGTGCCTATTTTATTATTATATTATTTAATTTATGTATTACCCTTTAATTTTTAAAATATGGATATTTCTACAGTGTATTTTTGCAGAATTTGTAGCTATAATGAAGGCAGGAATTATTTTTTTACTTAGGTTTACCTTTAGATTATGTTATATGAAACTAACATTAAGCAAATTTACTCAAAAAGTGTTTAGTTAATGAATTTTAATATCTTTGTGAATTTTTAAAAATTTTGTGCCTTAATTTTCTTCTATTCATGAACATTTTGGAATTTCTTGAAAAAAGAAGCAATTTATTTCAATCTAGGGCAATATTCCAAATTGATTCATCCATCTGATCCACAAAAGTCATTCAGGGTTATGTTTCTAGTTATTATTAGATAATATCAAATTATTTCTGGATGTTATAGAATTCATATATTTAATCTTTGTTGGGGGAAAGTTATGCAAAACAAGGATGTGTTTTATAAAATATATGAAGCAATCAATAGAATATTGTAATTAAATGTTACTGAAAACCATAGAATAAATGCAATTGCTCTTTGAGATCCACAGGGCATTAATCCCAGGAACTCTTCCCATAACAGAATTGTTGATGTTCAACTCCCTTGTGTTATAATGGGGTGGTATTTTCAATAACTTATGTATTTCCTCCTCTACGCTCTAAATTATCTTTACATTATGAACAAGGCCTAATATTGCATAAATGCTATTGAATACTGTTGGTCTTTATTTAGTGATTAATGAGACAGTGAATTAGTACATGCTCAGTACAGATGCAGTATGTATTTTGTATCTTCAGTTTGTCAGTGTAGAAATTTTACTTTGTCATCTGTAAACTTGGTAAACAATAGAAAATGTAGCCATGTATTTATCTGAGAGAGAGCAAGAGCGAGAGAAAGAGTTGCTATCTGCTGGATCACCTTGCACATGCCATGAGGAGCTAGGCCTGACAGTGGCCTTACAGGATGGAGCAGGTTGGCATTCAGGCAGAGCAGGGAGCTGTGGGCTTTAATGTCTCCCATGTGGGTGGCAGTCACGACCTGCTGTCTCCATGAATCTTCCCTGGTAGCAAGTAGAATCAGGTGCTGTCTTCTACAGCACAAAGACTAGAACTGGAACAATGCAGAGAAGATGGGCATGGCTGTTGAACAGGGCTGACACACAATTGTGAAAATGTAAAATTTATGCATTTTATTTAACTAAATGTAATAATAATAACAATATGGGGAATGCAAAAAAAATGAAAGGGTGGAGGGATGTTGAAAGCTAAGATGAATTTATTCATTATTTTTATGCATGTCTTACTTCAGTGCCATTGTTGAAACTTATTTTGCATAAAAAAATCTTGCACATTCTCTTTATGAAGTCTTTCTATTTTCAAATTTAAATATACCTACGTTAGTAGCAGACATCTAAGAAAGGACATCCTTTAGTATCCTTTATCACTCTTAATTAATTATTGGCTAAATGACACAGAGGAAGGATTTGCATTGCAGCTTTCACTAACAGGACTAAAATAGAAAGGTCTTACCATGGCAAATGCAGGGTGGTAAATGTAGGGAGATCTGAAGAAAAAAGGGGTACTGCAGCCGACTTTGCAGGTTCACTTGAGGCTACTGTTCATTACAAACCACGCAAGGTGAATTGTTGTAACTTCTTGTGATTTACGTAAGACATGGCTGGTTAATTATGAAGCTTCCCTTTTAAGATGAGACTGTTGTTGCAAATAGCACAAGTAAAAATACAAGGAAGGCATGAAAGCAAAAACTTTGAGTGCGTTTGATATATTGTAGCTGTAAAACTAAATTTCGTGATTTGCATGAACATCCTATCTGCTAATTATATATTTTTTCTATAACATTAATTTAAACCAATTTTGGATGCATTAGACTCAAACAATGGAAAGGATTTCAACATTTTCGTAATGACATCATTGTGAAAATATTTCATTTTTATTTCCTTTTGAATGATGTAGATTTTATCTTTTTAATCTAAAAGTGTATTATATGTTCTAAGATTACTGTAGTTCTTATGAGAATGAAAACTGGTGAATTATTTGATCAGGTACAATATATACTTCATTTACAAAATGTTTTTGGTTATGTGTTAAGCAAAAGTGTCTGGTTCTGGTGTTACCGTGACAGAAATTTTGTTTCTTTGAATTTTTATTATATATTTTTACTGGGTCACACAGCATTTAGTAGAAAGAAAATTGATAAGGTAACCAGCAGGTCTCTGTTATATTTTGGCTCTGCCACTATAGTTGTTATGTGTTATATATGGTAAGTCTCTTGAACATTATTTATCTGAAATTTTTTTTCATCAATGCCACATCAAAGAAAACCAAGTTACAAAAAAATGGCAAGAGGGAAAAGAAGCATAATTGACTTAGTATTTTTACCAAGGGAAATATCTTAGAAATGAAATATTTAAACAAGTGTTTCATCAGTTCATACCAATTCCATCTTGACTTAGAGGGAAACTATTATAGTAATATAATGTATATGTAACTAGGGAAACTTTGTATGTAAAAGGTAATGTATTATAAGATTAAATTTAGTATTAATCCTTGCTACTAATGTCTGTGACTTTTCTATTTTGTCTTCTGTAAGAAATGGGTGGATTGGGATTTAAAAGAAAATATAACTTATGTCATTTTAATGACTGTGAACACTTTCAGGAAGATGCAAAGATATTTTCCTAGTTGTCAATACTATTAGCCAGGCTCAGGTTTTGTAATAATTATGATGAGATTTGGTGTTGATTTTGAATGGTTAAAAAAATGTGCTATATGATAATATGAGGTTGTTGTTTCCAAGTGTGTTAAGTTTCCAAATGGGTCATAGCTCCCTCCTCCCATTCTTTATAATTTATATTAGGATATCTCCTTCTTTCCCAATAAAATGGTTCAATGATTTTTACTACTTTTTTTCTCATGGAGAGTTATCATTTTCTCACTGTTCATGAAAAGATAAAGTTCTATCAGTATTCATTCTCTGAAAGGCTACACTGATGCTTTGAGTGTATTTTCATATAACATACTTTTACATAAAGATCTCATAAATCATGTTACAAGACTAAATAAGTTGTTTGATTTAAAATTTGTGGCATCTGATTCAATGCTAAGTAGACAATTGAAATAGGAACTTTTTACTGTATTTTTTCATCTGTGTCAATCTTACTAATGCTAATCAACTAATATTGTGCGAAAATATTTTCCTGTGAATGCTGAGTTTAGAGACATTCTCTTTTTTTGTATCACTGTGTAAAATGCCTTATGAATTAGTACTTGGGAAAGAAGTGTTTCCAACTTATTTGCCATATGTTTTAGAATATATGTTAGATTTGAATTGCCATATTTTAATAGAAATTTATTATCTCAGATGATCTATGATCTTCTGTAATCTATAATGTGTTGTTTGTGAGAATTTTCTGAATAGGCATCTAACTTAAAGTTACATTCAAGTTTAATATTGAAATTGGATAATATATTTCAACAGTTTTGATTATCAGTTGTATTACATTATTACTTCCTGATATTTTTACAAAATATTTTACTATTTTAAAGTGATTTAATAGAATTCTGACCTGATGGGCCTATTCTTTTTCATATAAGCATTTGTTATTTGGGAAAACCTAACGTAGGATAAGTGTCTTATTGCTTTTTTTGATGACCGAATGAGTTGTTTTTTCTGAAAAGTTATATTCAAAGCATAACTTGATTCAATTACATTTTGCACAATATGGTCACACAAGTAACATTCATTTTACTAACGACATCTTTCTTTAGCATCAAGGTTCAAGACTGGCTGTGCATAAATAATTCTCAATTTTTGAATTCTCTTTATTTTTACACTAACTTTGTATTTCTATTTCTACTAACCTACAGTAGCTTAACCAGTTGGCTATCAGTTCTTGCGGTTTTGTGTGTGTGTGTGTGGTATATTTTTTATTATATTTTCCCCACAACTGTATACAGGATTCTTTCCCAGACGTTTTGGGGCTTTTTCCTTCAGTGTCACATTTTCTTTTGAGTACATCCACTCATACCCATCTCCTTTGTCTATGTCTGTCCATTACACGATGTGATCACTGAAGAAGTGGATTCTACAAGCAGAAGATATGCAGGTGTGTCTCTTCTACAGCTTTTCTTTGTTTTCATTTATCTAATGTCTCCTAGAAAGTTTTGCCTTTTTCTACTCATTGTACAACTTTTCTTTATTTAATATAAAAATAATAAATCTTATAGGTGTGATTAGATATTTATATAGTCAATTTTTGCCAGCTAATGCTTCAGTTAGATGAATAAGCACAGAATGATTAATTTATGTAATATGTAGATGTGTAGTTTTATAACAAGCCGCAGATGCAATATGTATATGTGGGTTAGCTACATTATACTAGCAAATTAATTATACTGTCTTAGACCAGAAAGATATTTCCAACTTTATAAAAATTAATTTTGATTTACTTTACTTCTGGTATGAATTCGCTAATTTGGGATTTCACTATTTTGGGTGGGAGATGCCAAAGACTTAATACATACGTTTAAAGAAGATATCAGTATCAATGAGTAGTTAGGACTTTTTATGCAAATGTAGATGATTCTAACAATAGATTCTACAAAGATAGATAAAGAAATATTTTATAGCTGTTAGACCAAATATTGCTTTATGGAAGAGAATACACTTGAACTGAAACCTGAGGATTCTTTCAACTCACTAACACACACTTATTAAACATATGCTATGCAGTGTTGTCCTAGGAACTGGAAATTAATAGGAAATAGAAATGGCTACTTAAGTGTTTGATTTTTTTTCTTTACAATAAAAAAGATTTATTTTATTTATCTGAAAGAGTTAATAGACAGAGAGGCAAAAACAAAATGAGAATTTTCCATCTGCAGTTCACTCTCCTGGGGGCCAGAAAAACTGGGTTGGATTGAGCTGAAGCCAGGAGCCTGGGACTTCTGGGTTTCCCATATGGGTGCAGGGTCCCAAGGACTTGAGCCATCTGCTGCTGCTTTCTGAGGCACCTTAGTAGAGAGCTGGGTTGGAAGTGGACCAGCAGGCCTTATACCAGAGCCCAAATAGGATGCTAGTGGTAGCTTAATGTAATGTGCCACAGTGCTGGGCTACTACGTTTGGACTTTTTCTAGGATGAATCTAATGTAATCTAAGTAGGTGTTATAATTAATTATTGATTCTATGAGATAATTTTCTATATAATATTACAGGCATATCTGTAAGTGATAATTCACATATATACATACATATATAATTTGTACATACAATGGAATTACAAAAGATAGCATGACTATTTCCATCTGGGAAAGATGGGTATTAATTCACTGAAGACTGTATATAAGAAATAGCATTTGAATTGATCTGAAAGGCTAAATAAATGTTGCCTCTTATGTAATAGAGCATTTTGGCAGAAGAAACGATATCAGTTATGTCAATGAAATTTAGGCAAAAGGAGGCAGGGACAGAATTCAGGAGGATCACATGATTAGTGAAGTAACAGAATAATCAGATCAGACATCATATGTTAGGCAGATTACTGGAGTGATATTAGCATATCATTTCTGAGATGATAATTCTCTGAATTAAAATATAGAGTTTATCAGAATGTGAGAAGTTATTGAAAGATATAGAATCTACAGGTCTTACTGATTTTGTATTGATGAGGGAATATGGAGAACAAAGTGATCTCATGTGTTTAAAATGCTTGGATATTTTACCAGTATGAGAATAAAGATTTTACATGTTTTAGTGGAAAGACTAAAATTTCATACTGGAGATGATTTGGGTTTAAGACCAGTTTTGGAAATTCAAATAAAAATATCTAACAAAAGAAACTGGATTTGTTTGCTTGGAAATCGGGAGAGAAGTCTGGACTGGAAACAGTATATTATAGAATACCAGTATTGGAGTGATGCCACTCTAAGAATGAAATTGTCAGATGAATATAAAGCATGGGAAGAGAACCAGAAGTCAAGGTTTGGGCATCACTAATATTTTATTTACATTTAGGGAGGAGTTGAGAGAACAAAAGCAAGAGTGTTCTTTTGGAGAGAACCAGAAAAAGCAAATGAGGGGCGTTCAAAGAGTTTGTGAAAATACTTATTGTGAAAAATTCAGCATACATTTTTGGCACCAAAATAAACTTTTCTAGCTTCTTTAGACATGTCTAATCAGAATCCGAGCCACTAAACAGAATAAGGAATTAGTCTGAAAGGAACCTGTTTCAAAGCTAAATCAGTTCTGCTAATAGGATCAGATTTATGGTGAATCGTGAACTCATTGATTCTTTAGGAAACATATACAGGGACAGTACCATCAATGAAATAAACACTGTAGAACTGAACAGTTCATGCCAAGAAGGGATAAGACCATGTGGAAGATGAAGCTCACAGAAACAGGCCATCATGATATGATTGGGAAGAAGAAAAAAAATATTCTTGTCCTTGCCCTAATTGGGAAAAAAAGATTAACAGCACAATGATAGAAAGATGGGGAAGGAGTAGAGAGGGGACATAGGAGAGAGATCTTTTTCTGGTTCACAACCTAGAAGGCCTTTTTAGCCAGTGCTGGAGCCAGGTTTCCCATGTGAGTGGTAGGGGCCCAGGTGCTTATACCATCTTTTGCTGCTTTTCTCCGGCCAATAGAAGGGAGATGGATCAGAAGTAGAAAAGCAGAAACTTGAACTTGTGCTCAAATAGGATGCCAAGGAAACTATTGGCTTAACTAGCCATACCTCTGTGCCATCCCTAGGATGAACATTTTATGGTAGTATTATCTGTAATACTCCATTTCCTCCAAGTGTGGAATAGCCAAAACCTGGATTTCTATTGTAAACCCCTTGTACTATAAATGAGATCTTGGTCTGTATTATTCAGCATTGTGTTTATCACTTCACGAATTCACCTTACTTTAGAACTAAATAAAGTCTTATGGATTTCATTCCAAAGATAATAATTCCAACTACACACATTTTCAGAATTATTTCTACCTCTGATATATATCTGATACCTAATTCTTGTTGTTATGTCAATTTTATTCACAAGAAATCTCTAAGACAACTTTATTTACTATGTTTATATGAAAGGCAGAGTTACAAAGAGAAAATGAGGAACCACTTGGTGGTTCATTCTGCAAATGGCCACAGTGGGCAGGGCTACTCCAAGCCAAAGCCAGGAGCTTCTTCCAAGTGTCCAACATGGGCAGCATGAAGCCACACACTTGGACCATGTTGTACTGTTTCTCAGATACCCTAACTTGGGACTGGATTGGAAGTGAAGCAGTCAGTACTCAAACCAGTGCCAGATGGGATGCCTTGGCTGCAGACAGCAGCTGAACCTGTAGCTGCACAATGCCAGCTCCCCAAACATTCAGTTTTACCTGGACCTACCATGCACTGTAAGTGTATGTTATGAAAGTTTCAGCCATTAAGCAAACGATTTGTTTCTGTAAGAAGTATTACTTTAGGAAGCAGTTTATGACTGCAGACCCCGGAAGTACATCGCATGATCAACTCCACCACCGTTGTGATTATGAGAAAGTTCCTCTGTATTTTAGGTTCCTGTTGTGCAAATGGGAATGATAGTAATACTAACACAAATGGTTACTGCTATAATTAAAGTAGATACTTTGTAATTTGCAAAACACCTGAAAGCTCTCTGGTTCAGTCTAAGTAAAGACAATTAACTAACTAGAAAAATTAGAGCAACATTTTGGTATGTAAGCATTCCTTCCATGATTCGGATTATTTCTTTTTGTTATATGCATTAACATATGCTAGTTTATTGCTGTTAGTTTAGGAGGCAAATGACATGCAAATGCATCAAGTCTACCATACCTATTCTTTTTAGCTTGTCATTTCTAAAGCAAGTTAGTTAAAGGCTAGAACAAGAACATTGGAACCAGAATTCTGCCTCTTAGAATATATCACAAAAACATATACTGCAATTTCAAATATTTAAGGTTCTTTATATTTCTAAAATTCAAATTATGCATTGTATAAATCTTTAGTAGAAAAATAGGAAAAGCGTACATATATTTTCCTAAAAAATAACTCTAGTGGTAAGTGAATGTATGAAAGCAATTATTGGTTGTTATTATTACTATACAAAATTATTATTATTATATAAAAGTCAATAAATGTATTCTAAATGCAATACTATTTTTCACATTTTTAGAAGACCTTAGTGAGGATGTGTACAAAAAATGATAGTGCAAATTACTATTGTTTTTCTGTAAAGCAATTTTGCCATCTAAATCAAGACATTTAGAATATTCCTGGGCTTTAGATCTGGTCAAAAAATAGAGACTTAGCTAAAAATGTTTGCACTAAGGCTACCAAAGCATTGCTTTTCATAATAAAAGGATGTTATTGTGAATATTAATAAAATAATAGATAAATCAATTATGTGTGAATCCATGTATTTAAGTGATGAATTTTGTAAATGTTAAATTTTTTAAATCATTTTTTTCAATTGGAAAGATTACAAAAATTTTTAAGTGTCTAACAGTTGGAGAGAATATCTAAATAATTCATGGATTATTCAGGCTATTCAAATTTCTTCTCTTGTTGTTTTTCTATTAACAAATATCCATTTTTCCTGGAATTATAGCCTTCTCAGGATTTAATGCATTGTTTGTGAAAATATGAATATGAATTTATAAGTGATAATATAAAGCAGAAATTAATAAAATCTTTTTTATAAAATAGACAAATAACAGAAAATGATTCTACTTATATGATTTCCTGGTTATTATAAACTGAAATAACATAATTGATGCATTTTCAAAATAATTTTTGAAATTCTTATTTTAGTGCAATAAACATACTTCACATTCTAAACTTGGTTCAACAAATATTTAATAAATACACATCAGGCCTTATTTTAATAGTGCCTAAGTCATATAAGATCTGTTCAATCATAGAAGTTATAATCTTGGGAGAAGAAATAGTCACTAAATAAGATGAACATGGGAAATTGTAAATGTTATTGCTTAAAACCTCTATATGACCCAGGAGACTTGCATGTTTACATGTAATTTTTAATGGAGTAATCTAGAAAAATCTGATCCTCATGCAAATTTGATTTTGAATGAAAAGAATAA